TTTTTTAGTTTTCGGCAGACAACATCTTTGTTTGTATGTGGTGCTGAGGACCGAACCCGGGCTGCATGCATGCCAGGCAAGTGCGCTACCGCTTAAGCCACATCCCCAGCCCCTAGCACACCTGTTTTTTAAAAAAATTTTAAATTGTCAATGGAATTTATTTTGTTTACTCATATGCAGTGCTGAGAATCCAACCCACCCAGCACCTCACACATGCTAGGCAAGCACTCTACCACTGAGCCACAATCCTAGCCCCAATCCAGGCCCTTTTTATATTTTATTTTGAGATAGGGTCTCGATAAGTTGCTGAGGTTGGTTTTGAACTCACAATCCTCCTGCCTCAGCCTCCCGAGCTGCTGGGATTACAGGTGTGCACCACTGCCCCTGGCAAAGCCCCAGATTTTAAAGGGGGCTTTCACCTTATATTGGTAGACAAGATTTATAGTTATCCTTTCTTTCCAGGGCAACTGGTTGCTCTTAGAGGGATAAAAAGGCAGGGGGTAATATATAATCCCCAAATAACTGAGCACAGGCCATTGCAGAATGAGACCAAACTCAGAGGGTGGGTGTGGGAGGGAGAAGACAGTTCTAGGAGCAGAGAAGTCCATTGCATGGTGAGAAAATTTGTAAAGGCTCTGAAGAAAAGAGTGCATTCAAGGAACTATAAGAAAATCAGAATGGGTGAAGCCAGAATAATACCTGAAGGTAGAGGTGGACCAAATCATAGGGTTGGAGGCAAGCTGGGCACTTGCTAAGGTACTTAGTCTTTATCTTTATTTAGGTCATAGAGAGCCTTAAAGAATAATTCCATGTCAAGGAGGGATTTGTGCTTCAATCCAAACAAAGGCAGGGAGACCAGTTAGGAACTGTTGTATGATTCATGTGAGAGACATGGACAAGGTAAGATGAAAATACCTCCCTGGGGGCTCTATACAGAGGCTCATCAGGGGATGTGTACTGTACCTGCAAGCAGCCTTTGGACAGGAGGGTGCTGGGAATGTTTTAGGACAGGTACCAGAGTCTGGTCTAATCCCCAGGAAAATCTTTGCTGTAGGTAAGGTAACCCTGACAGATGACCAAATACAGAAAGCCATGCCTCCACACCATGTCCAAGTCCTAACTGTCTCTATAAGATCTTTTTTGACCAACCACCCTGCCTTCCCTGGATGACAGGCCCATGTGTCTCACTAACAGGCATATCCCCAGACCATGATGGACTGGGGAAAGACCTGGCCTCTCCTCCATCAAAAGACACAGCAGCAATGGGGTTGCTGCCAAGACTCGCAGTGAATCAGAATTTCCATAGGATAAGAGAGATGATGTTGCGCCCATACACATGCATGAGGGGTGGCCTATCATAAAGCCACCTCTGCTCCTGGGGCCCACAGTTACCCCAGGCTCTTAATTCCACAGATCTAGAAAAGGCAGCATCCTAGGCAGTGACACATCCTAGTGCTTTTCTGTGCCTACTCAGATTCAGAGAGAAAGGAACTTGGCCGAGTGGGTTGTGAGAAGGTGGTGATAGATCAGGGGTTGAGGCAGCTCTGGCTTGGGCATTCCTGCAGGCCCACATGTGGATCTTGGGAGAGTAGATCAGCAAGAAGGTGATGCCTAGAGAATTACTGGGAAGAGCCAGGGTTTATACAAATGCTGAACTTGTGGAGGGCTAAAATCCACTCATTCATGAGTTCATAGCAGTTGGGTTCTGGTATTTAACCATAATAATATGGTCATCCTGGACTTAGACACAAACTTCAACAGAACTTGGATTTGAGACATAGCTCTTCATCCAATGAGTGTAAGAATTGGATCCTTCAGAATCAGGAACCAGGCTAAGGAAACAGCTCTCTGTCAGCCAAAGTAATCACTCACAAGAATAGAATGAACACCACATCCTTGACTCCTTCTGCATAGGACATAGGCCAAAGGGACAGAGCTCACAGAACCAACAACTCAGCAGGGATTCTGGATGAGGCACACACTGAGGAGAGTTTTGACCCAGCTCCATAGAAGCCAGAGTGGGATGCCTGCTTCTTATCAAAGAGGCACTGAGACCATTCTTCCTTTCTGCAGAATACATAAGAGGGTGGCATTAATACTTCCAGAATGTTTAAGATAAAAGTTGGAGAAACGGCTGGGGATGTGGCTCAAGCGGTAGCGCGCTCGCCTGGCATGCATGCGGCCCGGGTTCGATCCTCAGTACCACATACAAACAAAGATGTTGTGTCTGCCGAAAACCAAAAAATAAATATTAAAATTCTCTTTCTCTCTTCTCTTTCTCTCTCTCTCTTTAAAAGAAAGTTGGAGAAAAATACTTTTCAGATAAAGGCTTATCTTTCAGAAATTTATTTGCCATCTATATTAAGACTACAAAAACAGGGGCTGGGGATGTAGCTCAATTGGGAGTGCTTGCCTTGCATTCACAAGGCTCTGGGTTCGATCCTCACTATAACACACACACACACACACACAAAACTACAAAAACATATAAAGTGTTTCTGAACCCATAATCCTACATCTGAAAATCTAGCCTAAGAGATAATCCTAAATGTGGAAGAAGCCAACACGGAGTAAACATCAGACTCAAAGATGTCCAGTATGGTATTACTTACAGTCTTCTGATAGAAGAAAGGCTAAGTTCATTCTAAGAACTCTGTGATCAGCTACTATGAAGGCATGGAACATAATGAATATGAATACCATGAAATAACATGGGAAGATGCTGATGAAATGGAATTTTTTAAAAAAGCAAGACAAATATTTATATACATATGGAATGAGCTCAACTCTGGTTTAATTAAAAGAAGGCAAAGTCTCTCAGACTTCTGTACAATGATCAGGCTTCCAGCAATCTCAGTGTTTCCAAATGAGCCCACACAAGCCCTTCCCTTGCCTGGGAGACCACAGGGCGAGCGAGAGGCAGCACACTCACAGAATTATTCACATATTCTAACCAGCAGGGCCTTGGTGCTGAGTTTGATTTGAGGACATTACCAGGGTGGTAGCAGCGGTGGTGGCGGCAGCGATGGCAGCAGCAGTTAGGGTGGCAGCAGTAGTTAAGTCGGCCTTCCTTTCTCTTTCTTTATAGGAGACGGAGAATACAGAAGAGAAGGTAGGTGGAGATTAAGAAGCAGACCACAGAGAGGGAGTCCTCCTTCAGCTTGCTTTGCTATAAGCAGGATTAACAAGAAGGGAAAAAAAGAGAGAAGGATGGATGCAAGGGAGAGAGGTAAAAGGGAGAGAGAGGCATGTGTCAAGGCTATAAAAGAAAAGGATCCCATTCTGACCACCCCTGTTTGAGGGAAGAGGCAGCATCCTAGTTGTTTCCTTGTCACAGAGTCAAGGGGAGTGGAGAGAAAATGGAATTTCCCAGAACAATGTCCAGGGAGGCAATTCACCAGCAATGTGAGTATCAGTAAGTGCTTCAACACATTCCCCAGGAGAATGAAGAGACATAGCCAGTGAAGGGAGAACAGAGCAAAGGGACAGCACTCAAATAGTAGAGGTACAGACACCATCAGCTCTCCCATGCCACTTCCACCTAGAGAGGCCCAAAAGCCCAAATGAAGTGGAGGCTGCAGGTAAGAGCCCCATCCCTACATGTATCCATTTGGGCACAAACAGCTCAAGGAGGAAATGGAAGGCAGGGGTGAGGGCTGGCACACAGAGATAGATGATCAAGACAGAAACCAATACAGTCGGGGTCACAGTTCAGGCAGCAGTCCTCACTACTAGGGTGGACCCATGGGTCTGCTTCATCCTCACTTGATCTTGACCATGTGTAGGAACAGCTGTCTGGACAGATACTCTCATGCACTGAGGATACAAAGGGCTTCTCCAGATCCACACATGAGCAGCCTTGTAATAGTTCCTACCACCCTAAAACAGGGCACAGATGAAAAGGAGAGTGAAGAAATTTCAAAGCCAAAGATTCCTCAGGGCAGCAAGCTGGGTACTCCCTATACATT